TWWGAGAACAAYGATTACTWTACTAACAGATTTMATATGTAYTTCTAATATTTTAAGGGAAGAAAARGAAAACTGAGTTAATAGAAACCYACTAAGAGGAAAGCATTAAATAATTAAAAATATCATCTACATTATCTTATTTTTGAAGGATTAAAGATGAGCACTGAAGGGAACTTCCCAAAAGGTGTCTTAGTTATATACTGAATGCTTTCATGTACAACATTCAGTTTCACCAGAGTGACACCAAGTAACGAGAATAAAATGCGAAAGATTTTTGAACTGCTAAACAACCTGAGAGCAGAAAGAACTGGTATGTTGTAAATGTCTTTTCTTGCTTTGTTCACTTCTGAGTTACACTAGCTGAGAAACAGAACGCTGCTACATGCTGGTTTCCTTTACTGAAAATAAAAGTTATGAGTAGCCAGTTAATAGGAGCAAAGAAATACAGGGCTGAGAGGAAAAACTTGATGAGAGCTAACAGTCAACAGATAGCATCACCTTAATTATCTTCTCCCACCTGTACAGCTCAGGGAAAGCGATCAGAAAAGCTAAAAACGACCTTATCTTCACTGATTTGAGAAAGATTTTGCAAGCTTAGCTCAGACACTGCATAGACTGTGAAGAATGATTTTCCACAAAAGGAGCTTTCCCATCTGATGAAGACACTCCTGTAATGTGCTCTGCATGGGGCAACACTGGAATGTCAGTAATCTGCTTGCACACCTCGACAGCCCTCTGGCACTGCAATACTTCTCACGGACATCACATGTATCATTGTTCTCTAAAATTTGTAACAASTAGCAAATACTGTTTTAACTTATTTTACATTGTAAAAGCCTTAAGGCACTGTAACCTACCGAGCCAGGAGGTCACCTCCGCTTTCTTAGACGTCTTAGACTAACAACTCAGACCAGCTGAGGTACTGCAACGGGCAAACCCCCACTACAACTTTGGCCTTGGCTTTTATTAGGAGGCTGAGAGGGCTGAATATCAAGCACATCCTAGTCAGAGCCCTGGTATACAATTCCTAAAGAAACTATAATATTTTCCTTGAAATTGTTTGCCCCAATGAATTTAAAGAACTATGAAAATWAAAAATTAACACAGATCACATGTATATCACACTCCAAAAATCCTCACCAACTTTACCACGCTCATTTATTTTATTATGACATATRACTTAATTATTAGTACTAAATACATTACATTATTATTGTATAATATTACAGGCCTGCTAACTTAAAAATCAATAAATATTAATTAAAAAAATAACAATTGAAGCAAAATGTGGTTATTCTTTTTCTTAAAAAGCAGTTGAAGTGAAACCTGAGGGTTACTTGGAGTCAAAGCATTTGCATTGTGGGGCTTTTTTTATTTACTTATTTTTACTTACATTTACTTACAGTGGAATTTCCCATAAAATAGGAACCATACCCATCATATCCACTTATGGAGTTTCAGAAACATATCTAGGCATATCAAATGTATCTTGCAAATATTCAGCTTTCTGATACCTGTGAACAGCTCCACTTCTGAGAGTAACTTTTTCTGTGACCATTTCAAGAATATGATCCCAGTGATTCAGTGTTTTCCTGGGAATGAGGAGGCGCACTGCAGGGCTAATAAGGTCTCCATTAGCAATCAGGCTGAAATAAAGCAAAATAAAATAACTTGGAGGAGCATTTTAAACAAAGCTTATCTGAAGTGAACCCACCACCACCACCCCTGAAATGGCAGCTCACTAAGTGAAAATTCTACTTACAAAATAGTGTAGGGCTCCTGGAGCGGCTTTCGAAAYCGTGCTGACACAGTGATCCTACTGTGAGTGACTGGCTTGACCTGAAAGAACAAAAGAAAAATTAGAAATAACTCAGTCTTCACATTCAAAAAAGTTTGCCCTGACCACCATCAGCATGTGGGACAGCATGTGGGCAGAAAGAAGCTCCTGCCTTTAAAGTGTGCATTTTATTCCATTCCAGCTTCACCTTCTACGCAGCACACATAATTATTGCTGCAGGTTTGTGTGTGATGAGTAACAACCCCAGCACAGCACACCACAGTGCACTATGGCACAACATATGGTTTGCACCGAGAAGGCAGAATTGTATGGACATCTTTGGTTGTCCTACACACCCGAGAAAATAATTCCTAATTCGGTTCTTGCTGTCTTAGTCTTTGTTGCTTATAACCATGGCGTAGGCAATTAAACTATCTTCTTTTTTTAACAATAAATGTCATTGCTAGATCTCTCTGTGATTATAATAACTACTTTTGATCTTGTACAGGTCTTTACAACCTAATCCGTCAGTAATTTGTAAAGATTTCTGAATACTCCTCTCATTTTAGGGCAATTACTCAAAAGTAAGGTGAACTGTAGAATTTTAGCCTTCAGATTAATACGTGGGCTACTTAATTCCCAGCAATATTCCCTCTCTGTACTCTTTTGAACAGACACTGCATTAAGATCAACATTAATGTCATTATCCTGAACATGAAGTTAAAAAAAAAAAAAAAAAAAGACAAACCCAGACTCCAAAACCATTCGGAAGATTTTTTAATTCTTCATCATTAGCAAATCAAAATAAGGTGTTAAACCCAAAAATTCAAAAGTTATAATACATGCATTAAGAAGTTGGCTACATTTCTAAAAAAACAAACTACCATAAAAGCTTAAAGAATTAAATAGCCAGCATGCAGAGAGCCATATTTTCAAATAGATGTACAAAGTTTATTTAAACTGGCAATTTTCCACTCACCATGTAAAGCAGTCTAATGACATGATGTGTTGCAGTTTTATCACACTCTGCGCTAACTTAACCAGCATTTCTCATTTAATTTGTGGGCAATGGTCTGAAGTCCTGTGCTTTTAGTCTTTGCTTGAATTTTCTCACAAATTCATTTAATAATCACTGGAATGCTTTCCAGATCTTTCTCTTGTACACATTGAAAAGAGATGTGCTCAGCCTACTAGATGTTCCAAACTGGCTAAAAAATGTTATTAAAATAATCAAATCTGACTTCACACATAACTCAAAGAATGTCACACTGCAAATTCTGCACTAAGCACATAAATTCTGGAGGTAAGATAGAATCTTGGGAGAAAAGGAACCAACAAAACAAAAGCAATACTGGCACTCCTCAGGGTACAATTACTTCAAGTAAAATACAAGATGTTAATCTGTTGGACAAAAAGTGTTTTCAATGTCTGCTAAAAAAGAAGAATATTCATTCTGAATTCAGCTTTTTGTCTTTTCCAAAGAGCCTTGTGAGCTGTGTAGCCCTCTCAAACATCTGTTTTCTGAGAGACTCAGAGGAATGAAAGCACACCTGGTCATGGATGGAGAAAGGCRGGATTAGCCTTTGCACGGCTACACAGACTAAAAGGACCAAACAGAAGCAATCAGCACCAGAAGAGCATGGTGATTTGAAGCTCAGTGCAAAGAGATATTTTGGCCAGGGACATCTAAAGAAGGAGAGACAACAAGGAAGATGTTACCGCTGCATTGTGCCAGCATTTCTTGCAGACCAGACTAGGAAGCAGGCTCCTGGAATGGCTGGGGACCTTCCCTTTACACAAGCAATTCACTGGGCAGTGCATTTACTCCTTCAGATCTATTTTGTAGATGCATGCTTGTCTCAGCCCCAWACAAAGAGAAATTTTCTACTAGACTGTACATAAGCCATGCACTAATGCCTAAGGTAATTGCTGTTCAGTCTTGCCGTTATTTCCAGTGTGAACTGGATCAAGTGGAAGAGTCATATCTACTACTGCAGGCTTGGAAAGAGAGTAAGAGGTTGTTACCATACAGCTSATGAGGGGAGGAAAAGACATTTTTTGAACTGCCAAATAATTTAGGAGCTCAGCCATTCTTGCAGAAACATTTTAAGCATATTCTTCAGAGCATAGCCAGTCATTTATGTTACCAAAATTTGAAATGAAAATTTACTGGGSAAAAAAAGAACAAAATACACCTAAAACTGCGACATCTGAAAATATTTCTACTGCTGCTGGCAGCCATTAAGGGTTATTATCTCAGTGTAAGCAACTTAATAAAGAAGTTCAGAATACAGAAAAAAACAAGGTAACTTTCTAAAGGGTGTGCTATTGAAGGCTGAAACAATACTGATTTACTTTCATAGCATCAGGTTCTAATATTCAGGCTCCAAATACATGTTGCACACAAAATGGGAGTTACTGAACTTTGGGTGCCCTTGCWCCTTTTTTTGCAGCTGGTAGGTTGCCACGATAATCCCCTACAAAGTATCCAATACACAAATAATAAAGTTATGCAACACTTTTTCTAGGAGGTGATTGCTGATTTTCACTTAAGCTTCTCAAGCTCTCCACAGTCTCACCAAAMAAAACAGTCCATCAAATTAAGTTCTCTGATGCAGTCTGCAACACTCAGGTTCCAATGCTCCATACTTTACTGGCATGAGTTAGAAAGCATTTACTAAGCATAAAGGAGCTCTTTAGGATAGTCCCAGGTGTGCCAAACCACTTAGTTGTTCCTTCAAGCTGATGAAAAAATTAATTTTGGTGTAGGCTCTTCAGAAGGCCATCATGTGATTGCACGTAGCTCAGTCACCAGACCCTAGAGAAAACAACAACCTGACAGATGTTAAGAGCTCATTTATTGTTTGAAGGATTGTGTTTCTGCCAATAATAGACACTGAGGCATCAACTTGCACGTTTGTCTTTTGGGTTGCTCTCTAAGGGTCAATAATATTTCTGGCAGCCTTCAGTGGCCTTACCAGTGATGCTTGTTATTAAACAAGCAAACTGTAGGGGATTGTAACATGGCACCAGCTTGGGCAGAAATGAAACATTTGTCTGTTCTACCTAAACATAGCCTAACCTGGAACAAAATAAAAACTTGCACTGTTTTTCTAAGCCTGTTTAAATCAATGTACCTTCTGTATTTTAAAAAAAATAAAATAATATGTTAGTACAATAATACATTTGATAAAGTGATACCACAAAAATCAGTGCATGGAAATATTATGACTGAGAATTTGGGATTGTTCAGCCTGGAGACGAGAAAGCTTTGGGGTAACCTAATTGCAGTCTTCCAGTACCTGATGGGAGCCACAAGGAAGAGAGAGAGGAACTTTTTACAAGAGCATGTAATGACAGGACAAGGGAGAATGGATTCAAACTGGAACAGGGCAGGYTTAGATTAGACATTAGGAAGAAATTTTAGATTGTTAAAGGTGGTGAGGCACTGGAATGAGGTTGTCTGTAGAAACCCCTGGAAATGTTCCAGGCCAGCCTGGACAGGGCTTTGAGCAGCCTGGTCTAGTGAAAGGTGTCCCTGCCCATGGCAGGGTTGGGGGAACTGGGTGATCTATAAGGTCCCTTTTGACCCAACCAATKCTATGATTCTATGAAGCATTTAGTACAGGTCATTGACAAGATCTGTTTCCAAGAACTTRGAATAGAGTAGTCCAGACTAAATTAAGCAGATGCTGAACCTTGGTAGCACAAAACTCTGAAGTACTTTGCCATACCTGACATGAACAGCAGGGATAAGAGTACAACATCTTTTCTTGGTGTCCATTTGCTCTTTGACAGAGGCTTAGGCTAATGTTTGTCTGGAATTGGAGAGATAACTAACACCTTTGGGAAGCTTGCCTCTTGAAGGCATGTTTTACACCTGRTCTGGTTCAGGGGCCAAAAGAAAGATAAACTCTTTATGTTCAAGCAGTACACAGGGACATCCTGGTCTGCAAATAAGAGGTAGGAAAGGAGAAAATATACATTTTATAAGAAAACTAAAAACCAACAAAACCAAACAGAGGAAAGTGCATGCACCAGGGGTGCTACAACTAAGATGCATACAATACATTTAATTTTGACGCTGGCAAGCATGCAGACATGCAAGCAACTACAAAACAGCATAATGCACAACTCCAGAATGCACAAGAGATAACTCTTACCAGTGTATGTTCTGGCTACAGCATGGTATACCAAGCTCTCTGAGTATAACATTGCAAAAATTCAGCATAGGCAACCCTAGCCTGCTCTGAAGCCATGTTTTATAAAGATCACACTATACTGTAATTACAAAAGAAAAAAAAAGAAGAAGAAAAACCCCCACCACTTCCATACTATACACCTTTCTTCTAATTAACCTGATTTGCTCRCAAATTTTAGAATAACTTCTGTCTGATCAATGTTAAGCTTCTTATGGTCATGAAAAGCAAGGCACCTAACTTCAAAATACAGAAGTATATATTAATAAAAGACCAGGTGCTCAGACACTGTAAATAAATCTAGTTCCTTTGAAGTATACGGAGTTCCACTAAACCATCCCAGTGAAAGACCTGGTCTGGGGTTTAATTAAAGAAAACACAAGTCTGCTGCTATTATGTCTGTAGGAGGCACCGCAGTGTTGCAGTGTCTGGAACAGCCTGACCCCTCTGGCACTGCAGAGTTACACATTAACAGCAAAGTGGTCTTGGGTGAAAGTTTGTGCTCACTTAAATAGAACAGCATCAGTAGCCCCTAACTCCTCTATTTTCTTTTCATTTCACCAGCCACTTTCTCTGATGATGTAAATCAGCACTTTCCCATTTACGTCAGCAACTGTAAGCRGATTTACATTAATCAGTGGTCTGACCCCATTATGATTTTATCTTTAAATTTTGTACATTTTCAGTTTGTTTGAAAAGACCCATTCAATGGCAGCTTCCTGCTGACAAATGTTGCCAACAATTCATAATTTGTGATGAGATATTTATCAGAGGTATTACATGGCATCCTACTGCAGCAACACAAAGCTTTCAGGGGAAGAAGGAGAAAGCATTGCATSCATCGAAACTCTGAGAAAACTTTA